AATATATATATATATATTCTGAGGTTATCGCGGGTGTTTGTATGTAGGTCTTTGGTTATTCGGGTTTTCTCCCATGTAAAATTGGAAGTGTCTTGGGGACTTTCGACAAAGTCTCATTCGTCATCTTCAGGCTGGTTTACTCGGCTTCGTCCTTTTAACTGCCAGTGGGGATGGGAGCTGATTGGGTGGGAGCTTGGCTGTGTTCTGATAGGGTGAAGGTGTGTTTTGATTGGTTGGGGGTTTGTGCTCGGCTTAGTCTGAGTTGCCGTGGGATTTTAGCTGTTGAGCTGCGTTGCTGTTATTTGGCTTCGTGTTTGTGGCCGTGCCAGCTCTTCGTGGTGGGTGTCAGTCTGCTTCATATATGGATTGGAGGTGTTTAAAGTGGTTAATGATGCAGCTGCATCTGGCTTCTGGTCCTTGGTCGTGCCTCATATATTTTGTATTTAATAATTTACAACCCTTAGTTCCAAATGATATTGTGATTTTGTAAAGGAGAATTTTTGTAGCTTAAATGAGGGATCCTTGGTGCTCTTTGATTGTTTTCTTGCAGCTGTTTTATTACCCAAACTTGGCAGCATCATCAGATCAAGATATGCTTATTCCACCTTTAGCATGATTTCTATCCTAGGTATCCATTAGGCTAACAATTCAAAGTTTTGAAATGCTAATATTCCAGAGAAAAATCAAACACATATTTTGAATAGTAATTTGAACTTATTATGTTATTCATTTATTGTTCCTAATGCAAATCCTTACCAGCGCCTTTAATTTTATAGTGGGGTGTTCATGAAGCTTACATATACATTGTTTTTTGCTTTATATAAACACATTTCAAAATGTGTTTTGTAAAAATATGTGTAGCAGAAGGAATGGCAAAACCTGGCAATCAGCCTAGAATCCCTACAAAGTTGCAAGTGAATTAAGTCCAAGCACCATTGACCCTTATCTATCTCTAGCCAACTGCTGACTATTAGTTGAGAAGATTCCTGTGCATAGGCGTTTACCAATAAATCAACTTAACTGAATTGTCTTGTGTAGACCTGGTCTTTCATTCCTGACATTATGAATACAATTCTTTTATGATGGAGATGTAATTTTGGTTGAAAATCAGTCTTCATGCTTTACATGAGTAGACATGCCACTGGTAATTTCTTATTGTTTAAATTTTATTATTGATTATTTTTTATTATTATTATTATTATT